AATGTGATAACATTTATTTTCAAATCAAATAAAAAGTAACTGTTAAATTATAAATTATCAATTGTTTACGTATGATTGGAAAATAATAAGACATCCTTACATTTTTCTTGGGGTTTACAAAAAACTATCCTTCTAGTTTCAATGGAATCAATTGCTCCATTCCATAAAATAGAGGAAATTATATCATTTTTTCGGATGACGTGCTTGCTAGGCTTCAAATGTAGTCTTTCAATCGGGATACACTTTGTGCTTGAATTAGTCAACAGTAAAAATGAAGATCTTGTATCTACAAAATGAAATATTTTTCATTTGACGAAAGAAAAAAAAGAATGAGTTCATTATAAAATGCAAATATACATATATATACATATATATATATATATATATATATATATATATATATATATATACTTAAAAGAGAAAGATTTAAACATGATAATAGAACAGATGTATTTCCCAGATATCATCACCATCATTTGGATCCATAGTAATACAGAGATAGATGTAAATTAACTTTTATCAACTGAGCATTAGATTAAGACTTTAACGTAAATAAACAACAGATTGTCAGAGTCTTCTTGATCCCTTGTTCAACATCGGCAAATTTGACTTACTGCCCTTCATATGGGACTTACTGCAATAGCTGAACAAGTTCTCAAGACTTTCATTTCTCATCCTACAATCATACATGCTTTTAACACATGTTAAAATGTTAACATAAAGCTCAGATAAATAACATATATATATATATATATATATATATATATATATATATATATCATTTAAAAAATGAAAACACATCAATAGTAGGAAAAGGTATTTGAATGTCAAATAAACCTTGTATAGCATGTGTATGAATCAATGATTGCGAATGTCCTCTTTGTATAAAATGTCTTGTACAAGAACCTTCATTTTGACTTATAAGTTGATTTCTTGCTAAAATAATAATTTAAAATGATAATTTTTAAGTATGAAGATTGTCATAAAAAATACTTAGTAAATAACTTGTGTGATATGTATATCATTTTTTTATTTAAATTTATCTAATCATAAAAACTCTGTAGTTTAGGATGAAATTAACCTTTAATAGCAGAGGTTCGATTAAATGATGTTGGTGTACTCCCTTGTTTGGTTACTTGACTTGAACAAGCTTCCTGATTAGAGGCAGATTGAGTTTGTTGTAAGCCTACAAATATTTTTGGAAAAAAAAAAAATTACTATGCATTTTTTTAAAAATGCAAACAACTTTAAGATATACAATAAGACAATACAGTTCATAAGTAAATAATGAAAAGTATCATTATAGATGTAAATGCTAATAAACTATGGGAATTATAAAGTATTATGAGGTTTGAAAAGAAAATTTTAAAGTTGTCTACCATTTGAGATTTCCAACAGTGCATTTCTTTTGTTTAGGTTAAACGTTGTTGCTGAATTAGTCAATGGTGTCGACACATGTGTTCTTTCTACACAAATGAGAATTTGTGAGTTTAATTGAACATAAAGATTTAAAAATTAAATAATAGGAATAAATTTGTACTACAAATAAACCTTGTATAACAAGTGCAAGATTGAATGTTTGTAACGGTCTTCCTCATTTTCTCTATTGGATTAAAGCTCCCTCACACTGACTTCGAAGTTGATTTTCCAGTAACCTACAAACACTGTTACAAATTTAAAATAAAATAGTATATATTTATTTTTAATTGCTAATAAGTTTAATGTATAAAATAATAAATAATGATATTTAAATTGAAGAAGTTAAAATTAATAATCTTAACCTTGTAAATTAGCTGCAGGAACATATGACGTGTCTGGTCTTGCTCTTTTCGTCAAAGGAGTAGCACAATCATTGCATATAGTTGAATTTTGATTTTCTTTTGATACTATCAATAATATCCAACAAATATAAGCAATTGTATAGTAATGCATATAAAAGACATTTAAACATGAATTGTACATTATAAATTTATACTGCAAGAATTTTTTGATGAGTTAACACATGTAAGATATTGTTATTTTAAATTGGTTACAAATTATAAATTTTGGAAACAAAAATTAATATTTTAACTATATAATTCTTCCAAAGACTAACTTGATAGAAACAACCACAAAAATAATAAACTTTTTTAATTTATTATTATAATTGAAATTGGTATTGGGCATTAGACGTATGTGAAACAATTATTTAAAGAGAAATGATGTTTTATTACTATAGAGGTACATGAACTTTTCATTGTAGAGCATAAAATTTAAATGAAATAGTTTTTTTGAAGGAAAGAACAAATGATGCAAAATTGTTGAGTGGAATGTTGTTTGCAAAAGACCAGAATTACATGAATTGTTTAGGTTTCTTAATCGTTGTTTCCTACACAGTTGAAAAATTCTTTTAAATCTTGCTTGTTTAGAGGCAGAAGTCGAAGATGTCATTTTAATTTTGGAGGAAGTTGCAATTCGGATGACAGAAAGGAAGACGAAAGAGATATTATGTGGGAGATATATTGAATAGAGGAATAAGCGGATAAGACACGGATGATGGAAGAGACGTTCTATCTAGGGGTGGTAAACGAACCAGAGACCTTTGGCTCGGCTCATGAAGGCTTGAGCTTACATGTCCAAAATTGGTTGTTGAAACCAGACTTGGACTTGTATAAAAGCTCATTTGATAAAAAAGCCTCAGACTCTCATTCAAAAGCTCGGCCTTAAAGCATCTCAGGCTGGCCTAATATATTAATTTTTATTTTTATTTTATATTTTTTATACTACTTGTAATAACCCTCTTTATCTCTTCTTAATCCATTTTATTGGTTAAACAGATTTTTTGAATGATTTTGTTCTATATTATGTTGTTTGGATATACATTGAATTTATGAATATTTATGAAATTACTAGTGTTTTTAATTGTATATTCTGTTTGGATAAATTTTTATTGTCTTGTTTTTTTAAAACAGGCTAAACTAGGCTCTTATTTTTTATAAATAAGCCAACCTCAGATCGATAATTATATTCATAACAGATAACAAGTTTGGTCAGACTGACATATTTAAACACAGTCTTAGTCTTTTAAGACCAAAGTTTGGCTCGGCTCGACCTGTTAACACCCTTAGTACTATCTACCTCAATGTAATTATTGGTAATAAGTAATCTTTGGCTAGGGTGTTGAATAGAGCAAATAAGAAAAATATCTAATTTAAATAGGAAAAAAAGAAAACTAAATATTATGGCTAATCAACCCCCTTGATTAGCGCCCGTCACTTTTTAATCATATTGGGTAATTTTTTTATCTAATCAATCCAATTGATTAGTTTTCCTAATTCTAGCCAATCAATCTAATTAATTGATTTTCTTATTCTGGGTCAATCAATCTAATTAATTGATTTTCTTAATTTTGTCTATTGTCATTAAATCTAATCTCATGACTATATTTTAATTAAAAATTAAAAATTCAAAGATTAGAATTTAAATTAATTTATTAATTTGTGTGTGACCCAAATAATTTATTTATTTTTTAAAAACTTACTTAAGATAGAAAATTTACACTTTTCAAAAGAACAAATCATTGTATGAATTATAAGTGGCAAATTTTTTCACAAGATGGCTCTAAATTATATTATAATATAGATTATACATGTGTCTGTTAATTTATTTTATAAAAAACAATCTATAATTAAAATTATATTTAAAATAATTAAAAAAAACCTACTAAAAAATTAATCTAAACTAAAATCTAATTTTCAATGCTAAAAATAACATGCCTGCCATTATGGATTAAGTTTGATTAAGAGAAAATATCAAAATAAATTAAAAAAATTTATTTTAAAGTAATTTTTATATCCAGCGAAAAAATAAAATACGTATATATTTAAAAAAAAAAAATTATAAAAAATTTACCAATTTTTTTATAAAATAATATTTTGTATTTAAAACAAAAAATGAAAAATATATTCATCTTTAAAATTTAATCAATTAATATTTTTGTATACTTAGTAATCAATCAATTCTCTCATCTTATATTAATTTTTAAAATTTATAAAATTTTAAATCGCTCCCATCGAAACTCGGTTTTTAGAGGGTCAATCCATCAAAGGAAAAAGAAGATACTGCGATAGAGAAATCTTAAGAAATCTTAGAAGCTAGGGTGAAATTGTGAGAGAGACATCGTAGTTATATTTCTCACTAAAAACTCTCACGAAATCCACACCAATAAAAAATCCATTAAAATCGTAAAATTTTTGAATATCACAGGATTATTTTTTCATTGTTTAAAATCCTGGTTGAATACCAACGGATTTGGATGAACTCTAAAATAATCTTTTAAAATCCTAATCGAATACTATATGATTTTTTTTAATCCTTTAAAATCCTAATCAAATACCAATAAATTTTTTTATACAAAAATAATTCATTAAAATGGTTTTGAAATCCCAATCCAAGTAATCAATTTATTCACTACATCTTATATTACTTTTTAAAAATCAAACACGGCTCTAAAGTAGTTTTCATGGGGAAACACACTCATATTAAAAAAATTAGTACCATCCAAAAAAAATAAAAATAAAATAAAATCAGTGATATCCACTAATTTTTTTTTCTCTTTCTTATCTTGTGGGATCCATTTACTAGAATGTGGCAAATTGTTATCTTTATTTTCAACAAGTAGAAATATTAAAAAGCCATTATTGCTATATTATATATGTTGAGTTGTTACTTCCATCTTCGATTGTGCTTGTTGGCTTTCTCGAGATTCAAAACCAGAGAGTCTCCTCTTTCGGCTACACACTGTCTCACATTCTCATTACACTTCTTTACACTGGGACTCTGCCTCCCCAAAAAAGCGTAGCCATTTTTGTTGACTTACCTTTTGCCAGCCAACATTCTCTGTCATCAATTACATGACGGGTACGTTACTAACTCAAAAAAGTTTTGATTTTGATCTCCCAAGTTCATTATTAACCGAAAGTTTTTCTATTTTTTTTATTATATGCATTATAGGGTTGTGAATGGATGCTAATAAGCATGAAGCTCCAAAAGGTGGCGAAGTAAGCATGTTGCAGAAGAAAAGAGAAGTTGTTTTGGTGATTCCAAATATGGGTGGAGAGAACCATGACTTGAAAGGGGTTGATTCACCTCACAGAATAAGCAACGACAACGAGCTTTCTTCAAAGTCTCCACCTTTAAACTGTGCTTCCCCTGAGATAAGGTTCGTGCCAAGCCCAAATAAGCCACCCAAAGTTCCCACTTCAAATTCCAACCTTTCCCGCAGAAAATCATTCGCAAGGTCAGTGTATTCCAAACCCAAATCAAGGTTTGGTGAACAACCTGGTCCCATTGATGGGATCATTTTAGAAGAGGATAGTACTTCAACTTTGCAAGAACAATTTGTTGTTAGTTCCCCATATAGGAACTCGCCCAATAACAAATCCGGGCCGGTTAATAGAACCGTTTCCATCACTTCTAACATCACTCCCAAGACACCGTTGATGGCTGGGGAGGATCAGGATGAAATCATTTACAGGAAAGTTGAATTGAGTAAAAGCAAGCGTAAGAGACTGAAAACTAAGGTTTTGATTGAATGGTTTGTGTTTGTGTGCATTGTGGGTAGCTTGCTTGCTAGTTTAACAGTTGACAAACTGAAAAAGACAAAGATTGGGGGTTTGGGGTTATGGAGGTGGTGTGTGCTTGTGATGGTGACCTTTTGTGGCATGTTAGTTACCAAATGGTTCATGCACATTGTTGTTTTCTTGATTGAAATGAACTTTTTGTTGAGGAAAAAGGTTCTGTATTTTGTCCATGGACTGAAGAAATGTGTCAAGGTCTGCATTTGGCTTAGTTTGGTTCTTCTCACATGGGTGCTGTTAATCAATCGTGGGGTCCAGCGATCTGAATTGGGGACTAAAATTTTGGATGGTATAACGTGGAGTCTTGTTTCCCTTCTCATTGGAGCATTGCTGTGGTTCATAAAGACATTGTTGCTAAAGATGTTGGCATCACAATTCCATGTCAAGTCTTTCTTTGATCGAATTCAAGAATCAATCTTTCATCAGTACGTTCTGCAGACTCTCTCTGGGCCTCCACTTATGGAAGAGGCTGAGAATGTTGGGGGATCACAAAGTATTGGTCATTTCAGTTTTAGGAGTACAAATGGTAAAGGTGACACAAAGAAAGGGGTTATTGATATGGCAAAGCTTCACAGAATGAAACAAGAGAAAGTTTCTGCGTGGACTATGAAGATTTTGGTAGATGCAGTGATAAATTCAGGGCTATCTACAATCTCTAGTTCACTAGATGAAACTTTCGATGATGGAGGAAATGAACAAACTGATAAAGAGATAACAAATGAGATGGAAGCAACTGCTGCTGCCTATTACATTTTCAGGAATGTTGCTGCCCCTTGTTGCACGTAAGAATATATGCACTATCACCTCTAGATGGTTGTAAATGTAGTTTCCTCTCTCCTCTTTTTCGGTGTTTGTTACTCTTGTTGCTCTTAAAAAAATTCTGTCATTATGAATAGGTACATTGATGAGTACGAACTCCGGAGGTTCATGATTATGGAAGAGGTTCACCTGGTATTTCCTCTACTGGCCCAAGCAGACACGGGGCAAATCACCAGAAAGTCTTTAACAGACTGGGTGGTAAAGTCTTCTATACATGTTTGTCTAAAAATTTGTCATAGTAATGAAGGACTGAAATTCTGCTTGGTAAGCAACTAGCAAAGATTTCACTGCATAATGTTTGTGTTCTTCAGTTGAAGGTATATCAAGAGCGTAAAGCATTGGCACATGCCTTAAGCGACACCAAAACAGCTGTAAAGCAATTGAACAATCTTGTGTCCGGGATCCTAGTAGTGGTAACTATAATAGTGTGGCTTCTACTAATGGAGATTGCTACAACAAAAGTACTTGTATTCCTTTCATCGCAGCTATTGCTTGCAGGCTTCATGTTTGGAAACACATGCAAGAATATATTTGAAGCTCTCATCTTCGTGTTTGTAATGCATCCATTTGATGTTGGTGATCGATGTGTTGTAGACGGTGAACAGGTAATTTATAGCAGCCAATATTTTTTTTCATTGTTCTAGACTTGCCTATTAATGCTCCTCTGATAATCTGGCAGCTATTGGTTGAAGAAATGAATATATTGACAACAGTCTTCTTGAAGCCTAATAATGAAAAGGTGTATTTTCCTAACTCTATCCTGGCCTCAAAACCTATTAGCAATTATTACAGAAGCCCAGATATGGGTGACAGTGTAGAGTTCTCCATTGATTTTATGACACCAGTGGAGAAGGTTGGGGCACTGAAAGAAAAAATAAACAGGTAAGCTAATTATATCTTCGTGGGTAAACTAGTATTCTAGAGAGTTCATTAAATGCATTTCCATTAAATTCATTTTATGTTCTAATGTTTTTAATAAAATCAGGTACTTGGAAAGAACTCCACAATACTGGCATCCTAATTACAACTTAGTAGTGAAGGAGATTGAAAATGTAAATAAGATTAAGATGGGTCTCTTTGTTACCCACAAAATGAACTTTCAAGAGTTTGGGGAGAAGAACAAGCGGAGAACTGAACTGCTGCTGGAAATTAAGAAAATATTTGAAGAGCTCAATATCAGATACAACCTTCTTCCTCAAGGTGTTCATCTAAGACATATGGAACCAGATTCGAGTGGACTCAGTAGATGATTCTTTCTCCTTACTATGCAACTGCATGTATCTGCCTCGTCCGTTTCTTTGATCTGTCAAATGCCATCAAACCTTTTCTTTGGATTATTTAATTCATGATAGTTGGGGGTAGTGCTTTACGTAAAAGTTTAGTGACTTAACAGACAATTTTAACAATTTCCCTACATGTGATTATGAAATTATGACTTAAGGACTCTTATGTATGAATGAGTGTACCAACCTTTTCAAGTGGATCTAATGTAAAATTTCATTCCATGATTGAACTCCATCCCCTGCGTCTGGCTATATACTCTGACTGAGTCAGCATCATTTCTGATATCTGTTTGGAGGTTTGTTTAACTTCTCATTTTCGTGTCGTAGCTGGATTCCCTCTGATTTGTGAGCAAAGGCTGTAGTAAATGTGATAGATCCGAGGCCCTAAAATAAAAGTTAACTGTATCTATATGTGAAACGTATCTTCCACCTCTATTTTCAAATTACCCTTGTTTTATGATAAACATTTATCTTATTTTTCTTTATTTACTTACTTTGGTTTTAAGATTTTTTTTAGACAAAAATAAAATAAAACAAAAGAAAAACAGTCACACAATGACCCAAAATGAAAAATCCATTACCAACTGTAACTTTAAGCAGCATTTAGTCAGTAGTACCTCTGCAAATCCCACCTCTCAAACAGCATTTTCCTGATGATAACCTTATCCCTCCAATACGAGGTAGAGTGTGTCCCACGTAGGATAACTTACAGGTGCCACGTCATCCGAAAATCTCAAGTTTCGACCTCAAATCTTATTATTGTATTCATTTCTTTATCCAACACCAGTATCTAAGCACAGACGTTTCAAAGCAAAGCAAAACCAAAAATGGCTTCTGCTTCTGTTCAAATTGCTTTGCCACTCAGCTCTGCCACCCAGAGCAGGCTGAACAAGCCATCCTCCGAAGCCTTCTTCAGGCCATTACCCCTAAGACAACCAAAAAGGACCATCTTTACAAAGCCACTGTCAAAATCCAAGCTTGGAATTTATGCATCTTTGAAGGAGAAGGCACTGACAGGACTAACAGCAGCTTCCGTGGCAGCCTCCATGGTGATACCGGAGGCGGCTCAGGCAGCTGGATCTGATTTGACCCCATCTCTCAAGAACTTTTTGCTCAGCATTTTTGCTGGTGGGGTTGTGCTAGCAGCCATAATTGGAGCCGTTGTTGGGGTTGCCAACTTTGATCCGGTTAAGAGAGCTTAAAAAGTATGCCTCAAAGCTTTTACATTTTCTGTCCTTTTCATTGTTTTCGCTTTCTGTTTCATGTAAGTTTATGCAACTGGTTCTGCTGTTTCTTTACTAAATCCCAGCTGCAAATTATCTTTTATTCACCCCACCAGCCTCGTAATTTTTTCTTTTAAATAATTGTTAAATGTTGGTAATTTAAGTTTGAGTGATCAAAGTCCCGGGTAGGAATGATTAAGCAAAGAGTGTATGAGTGAAACAAATCCCCATACTCAATTCACAAATTGTATTTGAACGGGGGTTGTTCCTCGTTCAAGGGGATGGTAAATATCTCTTCATTTGTGAATTCCGGCTTGTGATCTAGAGAGAGCTCAGCGATTGATTATTTTATTAAATAGCGAACTATAATCTGAAATTTGAATAGAGGAATGCCACAAAACTTAATTCGAAAAATAAGAACAAATATGTCATGAGTTCCCTAACTTAAAAATATATAGAACCGGATTGCTGAAACAATTGTAAACTGATAAGTTTTAATTAATTAAAACATTTTTGCTTATGCTTGTTGTTTTGGGCCTCCAGCCATTCAATCCTTGTCATCTGTAAGGTAAATTCCTACATAGCGTTGTACTAAGTCCCTCACGTTACTTAAGAGTCAGTACAACACTTCTTCATCCGCATCTTATGGCTTGAAACCTCACAGACGATAAGCCACACCATGTCCGGGAATGAATCTAGCATTTTCTTCGGTGTACACATGAGTTTCATTCTGAAGCCTGAAACAACGATGAGTTTGATTTCAAGTTCCAATACATTTAAGTGAGGATTTGGTATCATGATATGAGTTATTCATTGAATAATTTTAGGGAAAACATTTTCTTATGTAACAAGAGAGTTGTTTTTTTTCTACCAGTGACCCTTCGATTTATGTGCAATGTTTTTTTTTTACTTTTTTATTTTTTTAATAAATGTGGGGCTTACAAAAGATGTGTCTATAACATGAAAAAAATTTCTCCTACCGCATGAGAAAATCGAAACCTTAATGGGGTTAAGTTAATTAAGTTTAACAGAAGTTTGTCGGCAAAAAAATTAATTTATTGCTTTTTTAATAAAAAATTACAAATAAATAGTCATTTTGAAATTAACTACGAAAATATAACAGTCAAACACGCCTCATAGGGGCGTGACCGGTTGGAGAAAGACACGCCCAGTGTTGGGCGTGACCTAAGCGTGACTCACGCCCACGTGGGGCGTGACCAAGTTGGAGAGAGACACGCCTAATGTTGGACGTGACCGAGGAGAGAGACACGCCCAATGTTGGGCGTGTTTCACCAGGTGCTGCCACGTGTCACAAAAGTTAATAATTTGACCGTAAAACTTTGGAAGTCCATAACTTTTGACTCGGGTATCCGAATTAGGTAATTTTTTTTGATTCCACATAACTTTTCGAGATTTACGTAATGACACCTAATTTGACCTATTTTGTCTCTCACAAAAAAATTTGAATTTACAACAATGATACCATAATTATTAAAAATGACATGACTTTGTTACCTTTTAATTATTACTAAAAATAATCTAACATTTTTATAATCACGAACAAAAACTTAAAAATCAAAATAAAACGAAAAGCACTCACTTAACTTTTTAATATAAATTATTTGATATTCTCTCACCGACAGATGTTAACTTTTATTAATTATAAATTTCATAAAATTCTTCATTCAAAATTTTAATATATATCTCAATAACATACATAATTAACCTTATCATAACTTACCATAATCATAAGGATCTTTATTATGAATGTTTCTAATCATAAGGATCTTTATTATGAATGTTTCTAATCATAACAGTGGTTTTCTGTCCATTAATTTTTGTTTAAACGTTCTTATGGTATCATTATTGTAAATTCAATTTTTTTTTGTGAGAGAAAAAATATGCCAAATGAGGTGTCATTACGTAGATCTCGAAAAGTTATGTGGATTAAAAAAAAAATTACCTAATTCGGATACCCGAGTCAAAAGTTATGGACTTCCAAAGTTTCACGGTCAAACTGTTGGCTTTTGTGCCACGTGGCAGCACCTGGTGAAACACGCCCAACATTGGGCGTGTCTCTCTCTTCGGTCACGCCCAAAATTAGGCGTGTCTCTCTCCCACCGGTCACGCCCTTATGGGACGTGTTTAACTACTATATTTTCGTAATTAATTTCAAAACGACTACTTATTCGTAATTTTTTATTAAAAAAACAATAAATTAATTTTTTTTCCGAAGTTTGTCTGGAAATCTTGGTTTTGAATGTGAATTGCAAAGGGAATGTACTTACGAGCGTGAAAGAGTCTTATTCATAGTTGTAGATGATTGGAACCAGTCTCCATTCAGATAGAGCAATTCCCCATCTATTCTTGCTTCGATTCTTTTGTCCATTTCCTCAGCACCAATGAATAGTGGTTGGTCTGAAGCCTGGATTTAAGGCAAAGAAATTCTTGTAAACAAGATTGATGACAACTAAGTAGTAACACAAGCAAAGATTTTTCTTTTGCTTACCATAACCCATCCCCATGTATCAGCAAAAGATGATATATGAGTTGTGTATGCTATCACATCTACAAAGAAACGAGCACAAAAATACACAAGAAAAACAAATATTTAAGTGAAACCATAACAAAATATCCTTGTGTTCTGTTGACTCTGCTAAAAATATCTGAATTTGAATCCTCAGAACAAATGGCTGCAATTAAACAGTCTTACATTTAAAGACCTGTTTGATTGTGTTATATATACAAGTGAAGACCTCCTTGTGTGTCAAGATACCTGCTGGTCCTGCCTGCACAAGATAACATACGCTAATCAATTTTACTGAGTGGGTGGGTACATACTTCAAAACAAATATTTTTAATTTTTTAATTTTTTGTAAATAAAGAGGGGCTAAGCCCCAGAAACAGTCAAAACAAATAATTTATATAACATAGCTTTTTTATATTTTGATGTTTCAGAAACTGTTTTTCTTAATTTTGAGAAAGTGCTGAATTTTTTAAAAATAAAATAAAATAAATTCTTTGAAAAAGCTATTTAATTATCATGAGATGTTTAAATGTATTTTTAATTATAAAAAAAAAATCTTTTTCTGAAAAAAAAAAGGTTCTTGGAAGTCGGGAAAAGGAGCATTCTTAATAATCTAACCTGGGTCACAAAAATGCCATTCTCATTGAGTTTGGGCTTCAGGATCTTTTCATAGAAGGATTTTGTATAGAGTTGATAGCAAGGCCCTCCTTCAACTGGGTCTGCCAAATCTCCAACAATCATATCAAACTTCTCCTTTCTCTTCTCTAATTCAGCCCTACAATGCAAAATTCATGTTGGTTTGGGTTGTAGCTCAACTCTAAATTTCAATCAAATAACTTTTGTTTTTTTAATCCTCTAACTCAAGTGAATTTACAAAATTTATTAACCCAAATCATGAAATAGGGTTGGTTTACATTGGTCTTCTGGGTAAAACCTTTTCATATATGCCTTCTTCAATTATATGTTGTTGAGTTTCTCGAAATTTAATGCAATTAAATCAGTGCACATTAGAAAGAAAACTAATATTTCTTCCACAAAACATATAATAAGAGATTAAGAGAAAATGTATTAAGCTTTTTAGCTTGCATAGACTTATAAGAGATCACAAATTATACAAGTCAATTTCCATTAATACATCATAGTATTTATATAATGCTTTTGTAAATATGTAGCAATATGTATATCTCCAAAGAATAAATAAATAGCGTATTCCACGAATGATAATAGTCTATTTAAGCAAAATTGTGATCAAAAGCGTAAATCCCTTTTATAATAGTGTGGACACAGATTTATATGATTGGCCTGGGTTGATTTGGTTTAAAATATTAGTCAACCCACATTGATTTATATTGAAAGATAGATTTTGTAGGATTATTAAATCTATAAATTGCGCTACTTTGTTTAAAAATGATAAACGAATGAACATTAACAAAGGTTATTGTCGAAAGAATAAAAATAATTGACCAGACATGACACTTGGGTTCGCTTTCAAAGTGGTCAAGAACAGCTGAGAAAAAGGAAAACAACAGAGAAGTGGACAACGAAAGATAATTACTTGTCTTCAAATAGACACTCCTATATTTAAGTACTAATTAATTAGGGAAAACATTTTCTCATGTTGCGTGAGAATTCAATTCTCATGTTGTGACTCTTCGATTTGCGTGCAAACTTTTTCTTTTTCTTTTTTCTCTTTTTAATATATGTGGGGCCCACTATTAGTTGTGTCACGACATGAGAATTGAATTATCATGCAACATGAGAAAATCAAATCAAGCGTCGGATTGCTAATCCGTTGTATGAATTTTTGTACCGAGGGTTCGAATCCCTCTCTTTCCGTTTCCGTTGAGGATTTGGTAATTTTTCTTTTTGAAATTACCAAGATTTGTTTGATTTTTTTGAATTTACTAGTTAGTGAAATTATGTAAAATAGAAAAAATATTCAGGCTCGTTTATTTAGTTTAAATTTTATTCAGAAGAATATGATTCAGTATATGAAATAAAAAAAAGATATCATCTCTCATTTTGTAAACTCTAATAAACAAAAACAAAAATAGCAAAACCAAAGAAACAGGGGAAAGATATTTACTTGGCACAATTGATGACAAGATCGAGCTTCTTATGAGCAAAGGCCTCCCTGTTTACAATCAAGTATTTTCTGCAGAAATCTACCACCTCCTGCAAGAATTAGTGACTGAAATTTCAATACTTTTTATTTTGAATATCATCTTCATCAATCTTATCATGATCATGATTAATTATTTTATTTTGAAGACGGCTTAAGAGCAATAAGGGGTGTGGTAATAACCTGGTCTATATCACACATGACCACTGTCTCCATTGACTTGTGCTTAAGGGCTTCCCTAGCAGCAGAGCCTTCGCCTCCTCCCATTATAAACATCGTTTTGGGGCTGCCATAATCAGTAACATATATATGCCTCTTTATATTAGTCAAAGGGTTCAAACATCCCTTCACCAAAAAGCCCAATCGAGTATACCAAGAAGCGTAATCTTGTGTTATGTTGTGACCTTGCAATAATCACTAATTTATTAAGAGAATATCTGAAAGGCATGCCTGCTTATGTGAATTATTTACGATGACAGTGACCATCATTAGAACTTGGTTGTTCCCAAGCTTCTGTCTAAATAATACGCATATGTGGCTTTTAATATAATCTTTTGAGATTTTGATCATTTGCCGCAAAATTAATAATCATATACTAATTTTATAAGGGATAATACAATATGAACAACACTTAAAAAGGCATTCAAAAAAAAAGAAAAAAAAGAAAGCAACATCATTATATTATAGCAGAATTTATATTAAAAAACATTTGAAACACTTTATAGATCATATATGTCATAAAATAATATATTATTTAAAGAAATTGGAAATACATGAGATATTAAGCTTATTAAATAATGTTATGGGATATCATTAAATGAGAGTGTTTTTTATTTTTCACATTTATAACATATTCAAAAATAATATTATTATTTAATGAGTTTGAGTCTTTGACAATGAATGAGATACTAAGTTTATTAAATAATGGGATGAGAAATCATTAAATGAAAGTGTTTTTTTTTTTTCATTAACAATATATTCAAAATTAAATTAACCAGAATATATATATAGAAGTAATTTATAAAATAGAAAAGTTTTCGATTACCATATATACGTAAAATTTAATGCCATCATCGAAACGCATATGTGTAGAAACTTACTTGGGGTGAAATAACAGAGGAGGATGAATCAAGCATTCGTGATAAATGAATTCATCCATTTCTGCACTCTGCATCTTCCCATCAATCACCAATGCCTAATACAACATTACAATATATAACAACTCTTAGGACCTTTTTTATTTCCCCCTTTTATTCATCTCAATACTAGAATTGAAAATTGAAATGCAGAATTTTGTATATATATTTTTCTGGAAAAAGTATTTGTCCTTTTTTTCAATAAATAAATATTTATCCTTTTAAAATGTATAGAATTGTATTATTTTAATCAAAATTATTATTTTATGGTAACAGAAACAATTGTATAATATAAATTATGGTGGGATAAAGTGTGAGTTTTTTTTTTAATTTAAATATTAAATAAAATATATTAATTTTAACTAAAATAACGTTTAAAAAGACAAATATTTTTTCTATTTTTTTGTCCAATGTTAAAAGAAGGAAAAGAAGTAATAGCTTACAAACCTTTCCAAAACGTTTTGTATCCAGTAGAGCTATCTCCTGGTAATCGCTAATCCCTTTATGAAGCACACTGTTGAAAATGATGGAAAACATAAACGAGTTAATGTAATCAAACAAAAAAAAAAAAAAAAAAAACAGAGTTGAAATTGTGAAATAGATAGTTTACGTGGTATTCTCTTGTTTCTGTTTAACCGTTTAATGTTTATTTAGGGTAGTTAATTGCAAAGGGAATGACTAACCTGTTTAGTGCAAAAGACCATTTGAGATCATCATCGATAACTTCCTCGTACCAGGAAGAATTATGGTTTTGATCATTGACGATGTCTTGTTCTGTTTCATGGCCAAACTTTGGGATCCCATTGACGTACAACACCTCCGGAGCCTCCTCACCCATGTTTGGAGAATGAAGAGAAGAAAGAGGTATTAGAGAATGTTATGCTTCTGATACCACAGCAATGCAGTGATATGGAATTTGCGGATGGGCAAATAAATGGGCGGTGCTAGCTTTTATATATAGCTACTCGAACTCCATCAATCAACATTTTATTTTCATTACTTTTTCTATTTTATTATTCAAATAAGAGAGGTTAAATTATTTTAATATGTTACAAATACATATAATTAGATGATACCATGGTCAATCAAAAGTAAGTTTTTATATAATACTACTATTATTAACACCTATTTTATATAATTCAGTTGATAATAGAAACGGTAACATAAATCATAAAAAAAAAGGAATAAAAAATAATAAACTTAGTTCACTAAACTCCTATATAGGAAGAAGTTATGCTCCTCAATCCCACATTAGACAAATTATATTTATTTGCCTTTAAATTTGAAATGTCTTAACTAGGCATGCTTCACCTTTTAAGTTTGAAACATCTTGACTTGTCATTTTTTACCTTTTAAGTTTGAAACGTCTCGACTTGTCATCTTCTCTTATCCTTTTATTAAGAGTACGTCTTGACTTGTCATCCTCTCTTATCCTTAATTATTAAGAGTACTCTCATACATGTATTGTTTATGAGAAAAGTGTGTATCATTTTAAAGGGCACAAAGTTGTATCATTTTAAGTGAGAGAAAAAGATAAATCATGGGAGAGAGAATGGGGGGAATTTTTTTAAAAAATGTGAATTCCATCTCTTTGTGAGAGTAAAATGATTTTTCCCATTGTTTATTCAAAACTTAAACATTAAGAATTGTGTTTAATACTAAATATATTGTTTGAGTCATAGTAAAAACTCTTTTTTTATGAGTTTTGGGATTTTATTTTATTTTTAACTTGACTTCATACACCTAAATTTATCACCTTTAAAGTAAATTTGTCGATCTTTCGTTTTTTTCTTTTTTCTTTTTTTTTTTGTTAATAATTTTTTCTTATACATTTATGCTTTTCATTATTTATTTTATTTCACATGTTGATAAATAAGATTTTCTTAATATTATTGTATGTGGTTTGTTAATCCTGTAACTTTTATTTCGGATCACTTTTTTTTTTTGGTAAAATTCGGGTCACTTTTGTTATAAGCATAACAACTTGATAGCCAATATTTTATTTGAATATATTATTTTATATCAATTTAAAAAATAAATAATTCACAAGAAATGATCTGAGGAATTTGGGTAACTTGCCTGAGGTTGTAGGTTCAAACATCAATATAACCATTGTACCCAAAAGAAATAAAAAAAAATGTTGAAAATTAATTTATTTTATATTAAGAGGGACTAATTGAGTTGTGATAGTTTTATTTAGGGTCATTTTTAATTACGACAACTTGGTGATTCAAATTTTTGTAAAAATATTTTTTATATAAATAAAAAAAATTCAAAGCCTTAAATTAATAAAAAACATATGATTTAAAATTTATACAAATATTGTTTAAAAAAATTATATAAATATAAATTGTAATCACTAATATCTATAAAGTTTAAAATTTAAATGAATAAAAATAGAATGACAACTATATATATATATATATACCAGTAAAAAAATTATTCTTTTATACCATTATAAATATAAGTTAATTATTCCTCACTTATACCAATTTATTTGAGAAAGAGAAAAAAGAGAGAATGAGAACCACTGCTATTGGTATTAGCAGTGACACAATGTAATTACTCCGTTGCCAATAACTTTACCAAGTTGCCTCCTACATCCAAATTGAGTACCCCTTTTGATCCTCGGTTATATCTTGTAGAGTTGTAGGGTTTGATTTTATTCAAATTCTTTTAGGTTTATGGTGTATTTTTCTGGAATGTGTTCATTTCGTGGCTAGAAAATATTAAGAAAATTGACACTCAATAAAGATGTAATTTTATTTTTTATTTTTCTGTAAAAATTAATTTGGGTTATAATTTTTGAAAACGATAGCCCTAGTAAGAAAAAATTTATTTTTTAAGAGACTAAATTGAAAGATTATAAAATTTATGTAGCTAAACCAATTTATGAAATTTTGACTTTTTAAAAGAAGAAAGTGTAATTTGTCCCCTTTCTTATATAAACAATCACATTTAAATTTTGTAGTGTTTGATTTTAGGGTTATGTGGATGTCTTTTAAAAAGACACAAGCTTATGTCCTTTCAGTGACTTACACAAAGTCTTATACTAGTAAGACTTTGTGTAAATATGAATTTTTTTTTTTTACTTTACATGTCAGCGATGTGACTGAGAAAAGAAAAAAAAACTAACTTTTCAGATTTACACAAAGCCTTATCGATAAAAATTTGTGTAATTTATTGAAAGAGCACAAGCTTGTGTCCTTTAAAAGAATATTTTTTTCCCTTGATTTTATTTAAATTCTTTCATTGTTATTTGTGATGTATTTTATGCAATAAGTGTAGATACAAAGTATATTTTGATGATATCAAAGTGGCAACAAAAAAAAAAAGCAAGATCGTTTGATCAAGAGCAAAAAGCATCAATCATATGTGAATATTGAAGATGTATGATGTAGTCACACAAGAAGAGTGATGTCATATCAAAGTGGCAAGATCATTGGATCAAGAGCAACAATAAATAATTAGAAGAGAAATAACAAGATCAAAGACAACTAACCATGGACAACATCTAAGAGAAGCTCAATATCATAACCATGGTGAAAAATAATCAAAACCAACAAAGTGTCAACAAGCATTATCATATTCAACAAGTCAAAGCATCAAGTTCAAGAAAAGATCCAAGACAAAAGACATGAAGCTAAGTCTAAAATCATATTTAGAATATATCTTTAGGACTTAGAATATATGTGAGGGTATATGATAGATTGCATTGCATGAGCTCAAAGTTTTTCTCAAAGTAAATGTGTTTTTCAAATTGCATAATCATAACCTTTATATACTTGAAAGAAATTTGAAAAATTCATGGAAAAGATCCTTGACATATTTATAACTTCAAAAAATATTTATCAAGTCAAGAACTTTCACAAAAAGTAGTTGGAAGCAAGCTAGAACACATTTGAACTTAAAATTTGTTGCTTAATTTCGCTGCTTCCTTCCATACAATTTTTCGTATCTAATATGATGGATTTGGATCTCTTGTTCTTCATAAAAGTTGTAGATATCTCTTTTATCTTTCCAAAGAGACCAAGATCACATCAATCCGACAAGTATAACTCAAATTATAGCCAAAATACGAAAAAATATTCTTATTGTCAAGTTGAAAATCGACTACCACTGCAACAGATCCCAACAACTATAAAACGGCTAGTTTTTCAAATGAGATCCCAATGGCTATAAAAGGCTAGTTTCCCAACGGCTATAAACGGCTAGTTTTCAATGAAAACACTATATATGCATTCACAATGACTCAAAAAGATTGGGCATCATTTCTACACATATTAAGCATGCTTTGAGAGCTTCTACACTATCATTTGCATATTCTTTCATATCTTTCAAAGATCAAACATATTTGAGCTCATATCTTAAAAATTCATATACCCATAGTGCTTCAAGTTGTATATCCACACTTAGATAGTGTATATTCATTTCTAAATATTTCTCTCATTGTATTCTTGAGTTGAAAGGGTTGGGAGACCCATTGTTTGAGAGGTGGTCAAATACCTAAGTAAATTTGGAGTGAATTGTAAGGTTACCAAGTACCCGTAAACTTGGAGATTGAAAGGTATCCAAGAACCCGAAGTCTTGGAAGATTGTAAAGGTTTGTCAAGCACCGCGAAGCTTGACCATTAGTGAAAGAGTTGATTGAGCGGCTTCAGTTGGACGTAGGTCACAAGTAGTGGTGACCGAACCAGGATATATTGTATTTGCAATTCTCTAAACTCTAAACTCTTTATTTCTAGCACTTTAATTGCTTCTTTGATATCTTGTATGTGCTAGTATAACTTCTATAATTGTGATATATTATATATTATGGATTGCCTAAATGTATTGATTAGCTTTCCACATATCAAAGTTTACTTGAAATGATTATTTAGAAACTAAAAGGGGACTTTTGCGAAAATCTTGTAATACTCAATTCACCCCCCCCCTCTTGAGTATGGAAGCCACATTCCTAACAATAAGTTCACTTTTATGGGAAGAAAATAGTATTAACATTTACCCTTAGTAAGAAAGTGAATGATTTTGTTTTTTTCAAAAATTAATTTGACTTGTAAATATTTGCTAAAAAAATTATTTGAGTAATGAAAGTGACAAATATCATAACAATGTGCATTGTGGGAGGTAGCCTTAAAAATCTAATTAAAATTCCATAGTATGTTCTGTTCGATATATAACCTCCCACATGTTCTTATTTTGCAAGAGGCTAAATTGTAATGTTATAAATGGGAGTGTATTCTCTCATATCTTATTTAACATGACATGATTATGTGAAGGAATCATAATCATATAAGAGTTAATCAATGGTGAAAAGAAAAGAGAGAGAAAAAATAATATTGGAATAGATAGTTACAAAATTATAACTGTTAATTCGCCTTTGTATAATTATGATTTTTCAATATGATCGTATCATGTTAAGTGAAACATAAGAGAATCCATTTCCTGTTATTCATATATAAATATATCACAAGAGTAGGATTAATTTATAGCTATATAAGTGTTGCACTTAATCTTAATATTCCATTTCATTTCTATTTAATAATTTTAATCTATGAATCATGTGAGTTGTTAAATACAAGTAAAATCATAGTTAAAATTAGATATAAAATTTGTTATTCTTAGGCTAATATAAATTTATCCTTTGTTAAAATTATAATGAAAGAATAAGTTAACTGGAATATTATTTAATTTATAATAAATAATCAAATCAACCAAATAGTTGTTCTGTCCTGATTATGAATTAAAAAAGTATTTGAAAAAAAAAACGATTCTAAGTTCTAATACCAAATACAGTTATGGGTTTGAAATTATAAATTAGGGGCGTGGAAGTAAACC